CAGTTAAATTTTGGGGTCTTTGTTTTTATCCTTGTGGTATCGAAAATGGTATCGAGCATCGAGTATTTTCCTGAGTATCGGTATCGAGTTGAAAATGTTAGTATCGTGACAACCCTAGGTCAGTCAGCTCATCATGCGCGTACAGGACGGCACCGTGTGCATCCTGACGGATTAAAAAACACTGGCCTATCCTGTCTGCAAAGTCACAATGTCCACTGTTACTTCCCACTTTTGCGTGATGCACTCGGTCATTCGTTTTGTCCGACACAAAAAGCAGCTGAATTGGAGTCGCTTTGCTAGTTCTGACCAATCAGACGACAGTTACCGGAGAAGATTTGAGCTGAAACAGCATGTCAGGTGGAGTGGGCTGAGAGTTCTGCAGCAGATCCAGTAATGGTCACTGAGATCGGGTACATTTCCGACACCCTATTTTTCCTTCTTTATCTCCGGCCAATGGCTGTGGAATCATTTGAGATTTGACACAAAGCGGCCATGCTAGCGGCCTAACGGCGAGGACAGAGGGCAGCAGACCAGACATACTCAGATGTGCCCATGAGCAGACCTCAGGTCTGGGGGGGGGTTCTCAGATGGGCTGCAGTTGTTTTATTGGTCCAAATGACACGCTGTCCGGCTCTATTTCAAAACGGCTTCACTGTATTATGGCAAAAACTACATTTAGATCATTCAGCTCTTAGAAACACTGAAACACAGTCTGAACGTGCACGCATTCACGCTCACCCGTCTCCATTTTGACTCATAAGCGGGCGGGCTGCTATCCGCGGTGGGAAATAAAGCCCCGAAGAATGATCCTGACTCAGGAACGAGCAAGTGTGTGTGTGACCGGTTTGGGTTTCCTGTTCCAGACATGTCCGACCCTCCTGCCCCCCCCCTTCCCCATGCCGTCTGGGCTCAGACTCTGAAGACACACGGGCTTTATCGGCCCGTATTTATCGTCTGAAGGGAAGTCGCACACGCAGATGTGATGCTGGAGATTAAGATGGCGGCTTCACGCGAGCTGGAACAGTGTTATCTCGTGTTTACGTCCATGTTTATGCATTTATTAGAGGCTATTTATTTATCCAACGCGACCTACAAAGTAGGGGGGCACTGAGAGTAGTGCGCTGTTGCTCTAAACCCAGCTAACAAAACTCAGGCCTGTGGTTAATGATCAAATTTAGCTGGCAAAAATTTAAATTTTCTCCAAATTCGAAAAGATGCTCCAACTCCAAAGCTGCAGAAGCACCACAGTGCACAGCTCCCGTCTGCAGTTT